CGCGAAAACTAATTAGATCTCACAGATTTTCGGGACTGCGCCGTCGAGTTGACTCTTGACTAGATGGAAGGCTTAGCCACGCTGCATAATTAAATCACCACACGAATTAATTGATTGCAAAGGCATTGCGCTTTTACTAGGAAGCAAGAAATAAAAGATATTTTTCCCGTTGGGGAATATTGTCAAACACCTGGCGTGTGTCAGAGGCCAGTCTCAGGAAAGAAAGAAAGAAGACTCAAAAAACTGACTAAAACTAAACTAGAGCCGTCTAAAGAGTAAGTCCCCCCTTTTTGCTTCTGTACGTCCCCTCTTAAAGAGCCAAAAGAAAGATGCCTAAAAGCTATCTCCGGTGGTCTCCACACATGTGGACAAAGCCTCCAAAATTACTTCTTGTTCCAAGTCTCTCTACGTTACTTTCTTTGAAGAGCCCAATTGACTAAATGCCTTTCACTAGCTTGTGGTTCCCACCAATTCAAGGGCCCAAGGGTTGAAACCCTTAGAAGTCCCCATTTTCCCATAAAATCCCTCCTTTCTGGTAATTTTCTGCTTCATTCCTGAAATTAAATTCAGATATCAAATATAAGTAGATATCAACAATTAACACAATATCTGGCAGGGATAAAAGGGGAAATTAATAATAAAATTACTAACAAATGATACCCTATCAATTCCCCCCACACCTGAATCATGCTTGCCCTCAAGCATGGAAAAGTGCACAGACACCAAAATTTGATAATGGCCATTGCTCTATCTACCAAACTGCCAAGATATCAAGAAAAATCATATACCAAGCACTAGTGATTAAAATCCGAGAAGCATCCCCCCAGTTTGCCTCTAAACCACAAATTCCTTCAATTTTCAAATTAGCTAATCTAAGAAAAAGGAATGGCGCATAACATTTATCAGCAAACAATCCGAATATCAACCAAAGTCTCCATATTAGGTCCATAAATCGGCAAGCTGACCTCTAACACACTAACACAACCTGCACTATTTTTTCCTTTTTTTTTTCTTTTTTCTTTATTATTTTTATTTTTTTTCCATTATTTTTTTTATAATAATAATAACACAAAAAGACTTAGTCTCTAGCCATTGGAGCCTTTTGACGCGAATTTCAATATTTTTAGATGAAGGAGCCCGGTTACTCAACCCCTACCGCTATACGACCACGTACTCATAGAAAGTACTACTTTTTGACGCGAGAATCGACACTTTTAGGTGCAGATCCCCGGTTACTCAATAGTAACTCATAGCGGAGTACAGTCAAGCTTATTCACAGCTAAAAAAATGCAAGAACGCAAAATAATAGCACTAAAAACCAAAAATAGGAGCAGCTCGCCTCATTTTTGCCAAACATGGAGAACTGGAGTCAATATTGGACCAGTTCACATTAAAACGCCAACAGTCATTCCCTATGGCTAGAAAAGTTAACAAAGAAATCAAGAGAGTCAAACAGTCTGATATTCACCAAGGAGATATCTTGGACCCAACTACATTAACTCGATACACTTTTATTTTAAAAACTTGGCAGAAGTAGAATTAGAGATAATGGTCCAACATCAAATTGGACACATTCAAATGAGAGCCAAACATCAAAAACAAAGAAAGGAAACAAACGAAAGACAGACAAGTAACGAACTAGAAATAAAACTAAAAACAAAACTACTAAAAACTAAAAACTAAAAGAAAAAAAAACATAGGCACCCCCTTAGAGCCCCCCCACACCTATAGGACACATTGTCCTCAATGTGACAAACAAACAACAAAAGTGGGAGAAAGGACAGCAAGACTTTCCTGAAGTCAGGTCAAAGTGGTGGGCGAGGCGGAAATGGAGGAGGGAAACCCGCATGATGCAAAAATTGCGCCAAATTCTGCGTTATGCCGGCTACATTGAGATCGACGTTGAGCATCCGAGCCTCCAAATTCTGAACCTGCTCCCGGAGTTGTTGCCATTCAGGAGCCCCAGGTGGTGGAGGTGGTGGGGCGGTGATAGACGGTCCAGCAGCGTCCTCGGCCGACCCAGGGAATGAAAAGAGCCCCGCCTATGTCGAAGGCTGCGTACCCGGAGCTCGAACTGGTCCCGGAGGGGTGAACTGATGGAAACCATTGGGCAGACGCTCGACTACTCCCAATTTCTCTAAGCAGTCCACGTCTAGGCGCTCCATCTCGAATGCCAAATGGAGGTCGTGGTCATCCAGATTAAGAACTCCCAACTGGGTCGCCAAGTGGGTGATGTAGGACCCAAGAATCAAATGTTTGTTCTTTTTGGTCAAAACAGTCTTGAACTGTGCCGCCAACCAACACCCCAAGTTGACCTTGATATTGTTCTTCTTACTCCAAAAAAAGAAAAACTCAGGTCAAGAGAGTATACCGGAGCTGTCCTTGCGCCCTGAGTAGCTGTAGGCTAAGAATTGCTGAACATATCGGGCACCAGGATCCTTAAGAAATGAGCTCCTAGACCTAGAAGGGTCGTAGCGGTGCCGATCGACTGACATGTCCTCCCACACATCATGGTAGTGGGAGAGAAATGGCTCTACGTAATCACAGGCACTCTCCGCATACTCCCTAGTCTCAGTATACTCTCTAGTAATAAATCTAAAATGCCAGATTGAACTGGGTAATGGAGAAGTTGAACTCCCGACCCATTAGACGGAAATGAATGACATTCGGTGTTTCAACGGTGTATCTCGTAGGCAATTCGAACTCAAAGGTAGAGTAAAACTCCCGAATCAGCTCAACAAAAGCTGGGCAAGAAATATGGAAATACGGGCGCCACCCAATGGCGGTGAACATCTGCTCAACCTCCTCTCGGATACCAAGGGCAGTCAGAGAGAGTCTATCACAAGACTTACAGGATATGATACGCCTCTCACAGATCTTAGCGTATCTCTGCTGATCGGCGGGTCTGGTGAGGGTCAAGTGCCCCCCAAAGTGAGTTGGGGTATCTACCTGAGCCCCCTACCCCTACCCAAGCGGGTTCGAACACTAGAAGAGGAGGGTAGGTTGGTAGGTGTATTCACAGGAATGGAGGCTTGTGGAGGGGGTTGAGACTGAGAGGCCCTAGACCTAGAGGAGGATTTTGGTCTCACCATTTCGTCTAGCAATAAACGCAAACCAACAAGAACCCAAATATAGAGTTGCTAGCACACAAAGCAAGTAGCACAGGCAGGGCAATAGCAAAGCAGTAGTCACTGAATATGTACTCAACCACCAACAAATATGAAAATCCAGTGCCAAACATTGAGTCAATCGGGGCAGCAACTGGCACAATTGAATAGAGCAAAAATACAAATAGAGTCCCTCCAATTCAGAAATTGAACACAGCAACCAAGATGTTATCAAGAGGTCGATAAAACACTACTAATGCCAACAAGGAAGTCAGTTGCCGAATTAACTCAACTAGAATGTCAACAATCACTACCCTGGCCGAGTTGCCATCCAATTATCACCGACACTTGTAAAATCCACCCCACCCAAAAACCAAACAATTTCACCTCAAAAATTGAACAAATGTCCCCAGTAGTGCACCCGTAGCAAGAGCCCTAAGGAGTCAAAAATCTAAGCAAGAATAGTGCAGAAGCCAACAATAACAACTGAATCCCAAGCTTTCAGCTTCCAATCAGTGAGCCCATAGAGTAGATTAAAACCAGCGAAGTCAAAATACCCACAGAGTCGAGGAAACAATTGCAACAGCTGTCCCATAGTAATGAAAATTTCCAACAACGGCAAAGAAAAATAAGGAGTTGGGAAATGAGTGACAAATACCCCACTGTTGAATATTTGAAGAAGGAGGACTGGTGGTAAATCGAAGAGAGGAGAGCTCGCGCGAGGGCTTCGAGTCACGGCCAAGGAGGAACGCTGCGCGCGGGCTGGTCGTCGCTGGTGGGGCTCGGCGCGCGGACAGCGGAGCGGCGTGTGCAGAGCAGTGGCGGCGCGCAACGGCCGGCTGTCGCGTGAGGCTGAGAAGCTGGGTTGGAGGTGGGCTACTCGGACGGAGAGAGAGCGAGCTTCGGAGGAAGAGCAGTGGCGGCGCGCAACGGGCGGCAGCAATCACGGCGTCGGCGTGTTCAGGCTGGTCGTCGCTGGTGGATTTCGCAAGGGAGCTGCGGAGGAGAAACAGAGTGAGGCGCGAGGGGCTAGGGGAGCTGGTGGTCTGGTGTGGGACGGCGACGGAGCGCGCGGGTGGGGCGCGCGATGGTGGAGGCGCTGCGCGAGGTTGGCGTACACTGGAGGTAAGTTGGGGCAGAGGCGGCGGCTTACGGTGATGAATCGAAGAGAGGAGCTGGCGGCGCGCGGTTGGGAGAAGCGGCGGACGAAGGGGAGCCGCGCACTGACAGAGCGCTGGGGTCGCGGGCGGCACGCGATCGGAATGGCGGTGGGTAGCGAACAACGCGAGAGAGAGAGGGAAAGATGCGGCGGCGGGCGAAGCAGAGAAAAACAGAGGAGAAGAAAGAAAGAAAAGAGAAAGAAAGAAGAAGAAAGAAAGAAAAGAAAGAAAAGAAAAGAAGGAAAAAGAAAAAGAAATTCCTTTTGTCGAAAATTTAGGCTACGGTGAAAAGGAATTTTTTTTTTTTACTTAAATTTTTTTTTCTATAACAATTGCAAAAACCCAACCTTTAGCTCTCTGACGAAGGCACAGAATGAAAACGGGGGAGCTCTATAACCTTGAACTCTTCATGGGTCATGATGCGGGCACGTCATGAGGGCAAGAACCCCTTCGAAGGATTCTGATCGTGAGCTCTCTTGACATCATGATGTGGGCACGTCATGGGAGCCGGAACCCCTTCGAAAGATTCTGATCGTGAGCTCTACTGACGTGTCATGACAAAAAGACATCTACAAATCATCAAAAACGAAAATTAAAACCCGAAATCAGTCAAATTCAAGGAAAACATATTTAAACTATCACATGAAATCAAAACAAACAATTAAAAGAAACAATTGGGTTGCCTCCCAAAGAGCGCCTTTCTTTAATGTGTTTGGCTAGACATGGTAAAGTGTCACTGATTAGAACATGGCGGTGCTCCTAGCCTTATCATCTCCACTTCTCCATTTGGAAAACCTTCGTAATAATGCTTGAAACGGTGTCCATTGACCACAAATTTGTTCTCCGTCCTTAGATTCTGGATCTCCACTGCACCATAATCAAAGACATTAGTTACAACAAAGGGACCGATCCAACGAGAATGTAACTTACCTGGAAATAACTTCAATTTCGAGTGATACAGTAGAACTTTTTGCCCACATTCAGACGTCTTCCTAGAGACCTGCTGGTCATGAAATATCTTATTCTTCTCCTTATAAATCACAGTATTCTCGTAGGCTTCATTGTGAATCTCTTCCAATTCTTGTAATTGTAAATTCCTTTGAATTCCGCCCTCTTTGATATCCATATTACATTGCTTAACCGCCCAAAATGCTCTATGCTCGAACTCGACGGGGAGGTGACATGGCTTCCCAAATACCAAACGATAAGGGGACATGCCGATTGGTGTCTTGTAAACCGTTCTATATGCCTATAAGGCATCTTCACGTCTCATACTCCAATCCTTTCTATCGGGTCGAATCATCTTCTCCAAAATCGACTTGATCTCTCGATTTGATGCTTCAGCCTGGCCGTTTGTCTGAGGATGATAGGAAGTGGAGACTTTGTGCAAGACACCGTACCTCCTGAAAAGTGCAGCAATCGTCTTGTTGCAGAAATGGGTACCCTTATCACTTACAATTGCTCGCGGCATCCCAAAGCGGACAAAAATATTAGATTTGACAAATTCTGCAACCACTTTAGAGTTATTAGTACGGGTGACCCTTACGTCCACCCATTTCAAAACATAGTTTACGGCAAGCAATATATATAGAAAATCATAAGACGAAGGAAAAGAGCCCATAAAGTCAATACCCCAAACGTCAAAAATCTCAACAAAAATCTTTGGAGTTTGGGTCATTTGATCCCTACGAGAAATATTACCTACTCGTTGACACTTATCACATAACTTACAAAATGAGTAGGCATCCTTAAAGAGGGTCGGCCTATAGAATCCACTCTCTAGAACCTTACGAGCCGTCCTCTTTGGTCCACAGTGACATCCACATGCAAAAGAGTGACAATAAACTAAAATAGATTGGAATTCATTTACACTTACACATTTGCGAATGATTTGGTCGGCACCACGTTTCCAGAGGTAAGGGTTATCCCAGATGTAAGACTTTGCGTCACTGCTTAACTTGTCCAGTTTTGCCTTAGGCCATCCTGCAGGAAACTTGTCAGTAACTAGAAAATTAACAATATCTGCATACCAAGGCAAAGATAAATTAGTAGAAAATAAGTGCTCGTCGGGGAAAGCTTCTCTCAACGGGACGTCGTCCTTGGTGACTTGTACCCGACTCAAGTGATCTGCTACCAAATTTTCTGCCCCTTTCTTATCTCTGATCTCCAGGTCAAACTCCTGTAGCAACAGTATCCACCTTATCAGTCGCAATTTTGCTTCTTTCTTGGTCAACAGATACCGCACGGCTGCATGATCAGAGAAAATAATGACTTTAGCACCAAGTAAATAGGACCAAAATTTCTCTAAAGCAAAAACTACAGCTAAAAGCTCCTTTTCGGTGATCGAATAGTTCAACTGAGCTCCGTTCAAGGCTCGAGATGCGTAGTAGATCGCATGGGTTGCCTTCCCCACTCTTTGACCTAGCATCGCGCCTACTGCGTAATCGCTGGCGTCACACATGATCTCGAATAGCAGGTTCCAGTCGGGCGGTTGGATAATAGGTGAGGAGATCAATACCTCTTTCAACCTATCAAACGCCTTCTTACATGCTCCATTGAACTCGAAGGGCACCTCTTTCTGCAAAAGTTGGAACATGGGCGCTCCAATTTTTGAGAAATCTTTGATAAACCTTCTGTAGAAACCTGCGTGAACCAAGAAAGAACGCACTTCCCGCACACTCGCAGGGTAGGGTAAAGTAGATATAACATCTATTTTTGCTTTATCAACCTCAATACCCCTAGACGACACCACATGACCCAAAACTATCCCGTGCTCAACCATGAAATGACATTTTTCCCAATTAAGCACGAGATTAGCTTCTATACACCTTATCAAAATTAATTTCAGGTTATCTAAACAATTATCGAAACTTTCCCCATATACACTGAAATTGTCCATAAAAATCTCAACAATCTTCTCAACGTACTCCAAAAAGATACTTACCATGCATTTTTGGAAGGTAGCAGGTGCATTGCATAACCCAAATGGCATCCTCCGATATGCAAATGTTCCAAACGGGCACGTGAAGGTAATCTTCTCCTGGTCCTCGGGGGCGATAGCAATCTGGAAATAACCTAAAAATCCATCCAAAAAATAATAGTAAGCTCGACTTGCTAATCGCTCTACCATTTGATCAATGAAAGGAAGGGAAAAATGATCTTTTTTCGTGACGGCGTTCAACTTCCTATAATCTATACACTGCCGCCACCCGATGGACTTTCGAACTGGTACGAGCTCGCCCTCCTGGTTTGACTCTACCATCACCCCCGCCTTCTTTGGAACCACTTGTATTGGACTCACCCAGGGGCTATCTGATATAGCAAAGATGATCCCCACATCCAGCAGTTTCAGGATCTCTTTCTTCACTACTTCCATCATAAGGGGATTCAGTCTCCTTTGAGCCTGCCGAATAGGTTTAGCATCCTCCTCGAGTCGAATCCGATGCATACATACTGCGGGACTAATTCCTTTGATATCGGCGATGGTCCATCCTATCGTGTGCTTATGGTCCCTCAAAATTCGAATCAATTTGTCCTCTTGGACTTTTGATAAACTCGCGGAGATGATTACCAGGAGTGTCTCCCCCTCACCCAAGTATGCATACTTGAGGTGTGTCAGCAGGGGTTTCAACTCTAGAATAGGTGTCTGCACCACAGATGGAAGTAACCTTTGGTGAGATTCAGGTGTAAAAACGGGTGCGAGACCATACCTTATTTTTGTGGTTGGCAACGTCTGCAATGCTCCAATCACACGTTTTAGTTCTTCATTCAACTCTACTCCAGATGTCATCTCTGACTCGAGGTGCCTGGTCAAGACGACTTCCAACTCATCCCTACCTTCAATTTCAAAAACTTCTCGTACAGCAGGGTCAATAACATTTATAGAGAAAATAAAGCCAGCATGTGATTCTGAAGGATATTTCATGGATTCGAAAATATTAAAATGAACAATCTCACCATCAAATTCCGTAGATAGGGTGCCCTTATTTACATCAATTTTAGTTCGACCTGTGCTCAAGAAGAGTCTTCCTAACAGTAAAGGTGATGGGTCGTGAGAGTGTTCATCATCTATGTCAAGCACGTAAAAATCAGCAGGAAAAATCAATTCGTTAATTTTCACCAAAACATGCTCAATCAAGCCGTCAGGGTATGCATTGGTTCGGTCAGCCAGTTGGATTATTATCCCGGTCTCTTTTAAAGGTCCTAAATTCAAAGAAACATATATAGACTTGGGCATCACATTAATCGAAGCTCCTAGATCCAACATGGCCTTCCCAATCAAGGTATTACCTATCCTACAGGGAATGGTGAACATACCTGGATCCCCGCATTTCGATGGAAGTTTCCTTTGTAACATTGCTGACACGTTTTCCCCCACCACCACTCGCTCATCTCCTTTCAACCGCCTTCAGTTGACACACAAGTCTCTCAAAAACTTTGCATATCGAGGTACTTGCTTGATCGCATCCAGTAGGGGAATGTTGATCTCCACCTTGCGAAAGATCTCCATGACTTCTTTCTCCTTGTCCTGCTTCTTTGGTTTTTCTAACCTGCTAGGAAAGAGAGGTGGATTAGTCCTAACTGCAATGATTGGATTCAAGATTACCTTTGGATTTTTGGTATCTCTGCCTTCCTCTTCCAACTCTTTCTCGATTCGTTCCTCATCCTTGTCCTTAGGAGTCACAGGGTCGGGTCCTTGGATTTCCTTCCCGCTCCTTAGGGTCATTGCGCTTACGTTCTTCGGGTTTAATTCAGGCTGAGACGGCAATTTACTTTGGGATTGGGACTCCAAACGGTTGATTGTTGTGGCCATTTGACTCATCTGATTTCTTATGTCCTGCATTTTGGAGTCCGTCCTCTGCTGATTTTGCGTAATGATTGCCAACAGTTGTTTCATCATCTCCTCCAGAGATGGGCCAGAGCTTGGGGGCGGAGGTGGTCGGGGTTGGTACTGTTGCTGGTACCCTGGTTGCTTATTTGACACGAAATTAGACTGCTTGTTCGGTGCAAAGTTGGGCTGCCTATTCCCTCCATAACTGAAATTCGGGTGGTCCTTCCAGCCGGGATTGTACGTATTCGAGTACGGGTCATAGGGCCTTCTTGGCGCGGGCGCGTGACTAGCAATATTCACTTGCTCTGCACTTTCTTCCTGAATCGCTGGGCACATGTCTGTAGAATGACCCATACCAGTGCAAATCCCGCACAACTTGGCCTGAGATGCATTTTCCACAACCAGTTGTCTAACAAACGAGGTCAACTCAGTTAGCTGCTGCTGGATAGAGGATGTCTCAATCTCATTCACCTTGCGTACTGGGACATCCTCCCTCGTACCGAACTGTTGTGAATTCTCTGCCATCCCCCCTATTAACTCCCTTGCTTCCTGAGGGGTTTTGTTCACCAGTGCCCCTCCATTTGCAGCATCAATTATGCTCCTGTCTCTGAAAAGGAGCCCCTCATAAAAATACTGTATGAGCAACTGCTCACTTATTTGGTGCTGGGGGCACTTGTTGCACAACTTCTTGAACCGCTCCCAATACTCATAGAGTGACTACCCTGAGTGCTGCTTAATCCCGCAAATTTCTTTCCTTAGACTTGTAGCCCTGGACGCAGGAAAATATTTATCTAAAAATTTTTTCTTCAATTGTTCCCACGTAGTGATGCTACCTGGTGGCAGGTAGTACAACCAGTCCTTTGCAGAATCTTTCAAAGAAAAGGGAAATGCCCTCATTTTTATTTGCTCTTCTGTGATTCCCGGGGGTTTCATACTATTGTACACGATATCAAACTCCTGCAGATGCTTATACGGCTCTTCACCTGGTAAACCATGAAAAGAGAGTAAAAGATGAATCAGACCAGATTTTAGTTCAAATGGAGTGTTATCATTTAAGGTAGGGAAAGTAATGCATAAAGGCTGCTGATTTAAATCAGAAGCAGCCAATTCCCTTAATATTCGTGCATTAGCCATGGTTCCTTCCTCCTGGTCAGAGTCACTCGAAGTGTCTCCAAACGAATCTGTTGGTTCAACTCCTGGCTCAGGTCTCTGAGATGCAACACTGGACTGCTCCTCTCTGAGCTGTCTGGTTTCCTTTCTCGTTCTACGCGCGGTTTTCTCTACTTCAGGGTCAAAAATCAAATCACCTGTACGAGAAGACCGAGACATACACTAGAAAAAATACCAGAAAATTAGAACAAAAAATAAATTTAAAAAGAAACAAATAATAACGCCAGTCCCCGGTAATGGCGCCAAAAATTGACAGGTGTCGAACCTGTGCAATAATAATAACAAAAATAGAACCTAACCACCACTAAAAGCAATCAAAAATTAATCCTAGATACTGGAGCAGGGACTCTAGGTGTGCAATGGGTTACTTGATTCACCCTGTTCCCAAAGAGTTTGCTTAATCCGATATACCAAAATTAATTAATTGACGAAATTTACTAAATAGTAGACAGTGGCAAGTAGGATCGTCTCCTCAGGGACTGGAGATATTTGTCCCTTTTAAATTCCAATTGGTAAGAGGGATTTTATCGGAGTGAAACTAAAAATAATTAAGCAATCCAACTAAAAATAAATAATCAACTAGTACAAATATAGCAGGAATTAAATCAAGAATAAATAAAGCTAGCCAAAGATACAACTATTCAGATACAGTCCATTTATCCGATCATTGATGCAAGAGAGGCTCACTCAATTTATTAATAGGCTAGTTATAGCCGCCGATGAATTCTAACAACCAATTTTTTCTTAAATTATTGATAATCAAGGTACGACCATTGATCACCTTTAACCAGAAAATACTCCTAAGTACTACCGTAGGAATTAATTTTTCAATTGCATTAATAACTAGAAACCCTAATCAATAACACGCTACGAGAGTTATTCAAATTAGATTGCACGTTCCCCTAATGTGTAAACACACCAGTTGCCACTAATATTAATCAATCAAACAATTACGAATTTAATTGACTAAATTGGCACGAGATTAATAAATCACATTGAACATCGGGCCCTTGACATCCAATTAATAAAATAATCCCATGAAAATTCAAGCAGACAACGTGCAAATATTAATAAATCAAGGAACGCGCGAAAACTAATTAGATCTCACAGATTTTCGGGACTGCGCCGTCGAGTTGACCCTTGACTAGATGGAAGGTTTAGCCACGCCGCATAATTAAATCACCACATGAATTAATTGATTGCAAAGGCATTGCGTTTTTACTAGGAAGCAAGAAATAAAAGATGTTTTTCCGGTTGGAAAATATTGTCGAACACCTGGCGTGTGTCAGAGGCCAGTCTCAGGAAAGAAAGAAAGAAGACTCAAAAAACTGACTAAAACTAAACTAGAGCCGTCTAAAGAGTAAGTCCCCCCTTTTTGCTTCTGTACGTCCTCTCTTAAAGAGCCAAAAGAAAGATGCCTAAAAGCTATCTCCGGTGGTCCCCACACATGTGGACAAAGCCTTCAAAATTACTTCTTATTCCAAGTCTCTCTACGTTGCTTTCTTTGAAGAGCCCAATTGACTAAATGCCTTTCACTAGCTTGTGGTCCCCACCAATTCAAGGGTCCAAGGGTTGAAGCCCTTAGAAGTCCCCATTTTTCCATAAAGTCCCTCTTTTTTGGTAATTTTCTGCTTCATTCCTGAAATTAAATCCAGATACCAAATATAAGTAGATATCAACAATTAACACAATATCTGGCAGGGATAAAAGGGAAAATTAATTACTAAAAAGTCCTAATTATCACCACAAATAATTGTAGAACAAGTCCAAGTACTGGAGTAGGGACCCTAGGTGTGCAATGGGTTACTTGATTCACCCTATTCCCGAAGAGTTTGCTTGATCCGATATACCAGATTAGTCTATAAGAATATTACTTTTGTGTACAATGGCAAGTAGGGTCGATTCCACAGGGAGCGGGTAAAAAATTATTTCTTTCCAAATTAGTAGAATGGAATTGGGGGATTTTCAATGGGAGGCAAACAAATAAAATAAAAATAAGAATAAAAATAAAGCGAACTAAATTCAAAACCAACTCACAAAGCACAATTCACTAAAAATAGCAATTAATAAAATTCTACCCAAAGGATTAACTGCTCAGGCACGGTCCAATCAAATGATTATCGATGCAAAGATATCTCATCCATTCATCACTAGGTTGGTTATAGTTATCAACAAGCTCTGACAACCAGTTCTTCCTTACTTTTTCGACAGTCAAGGTACGACCATTAACTGCTTCCCTAACCAGATAACAACCCTAGGTACGACCGTAGGAATTTAATTACCCAATTGCATTAAAGGTAGAAGAACCCAACCCTAACCAATAAACACGCTAAGAGGGTTTATTTAAGCTAGATCTTACGCTTCCCCATCATAAAGCCAATTATGGTGGTTGCCACGAGGTGTTAACTAAATGAACAATTACGGATTCTATTTAATTAACGTGGCAGTAGGCTATTAAATTAAATCAAATACCCGGTTGTTGATATTCAATTAATAAAATACCCATGAACAATTAATTAAGGAAATGCACGAATAGCAATAAATTGAAAGAAATAATGAAGATTCGATTAGATCTCACAGATATTATGGACCGCGCCCTCGCGTCAACCTTCGGGTAGAGGAGGAAATTAGCCGCTCCTCATCGTATCAACCTCACGTGATTTAATTGAATTCATTCAATTATTTGCCGAAGAATTGGGGTCGCAATCGCAAAGCAGAAAACCAACGCGAATTGTCTCAAGCAAGAGTAACAACTCAGGAGTCAAAGCCGTACAAGGCAAAAGTTAAAGAAAAGAAATACGTCTGACCGAAAGAGAAAAAGAAGAGAACTCAAAGCTAATCTAATTTCGGCCGACCGAGACAAAAGAAAAAGAAAAAACGTCTGACCGATCTTGCAAAAAGGTAAAACTAAGGCTAAAAGTAGTGATCCCTCTGAATCTCGCTTTTTCTTCTTTATAATGCTGCCGCCAGGAGCTCTCAGACGTCTGGCCCAATTCATTGAAACAAAAGCTAGCCTTTTGGAGTTTTTATCCCATGCTTCTCGCGGTTCACGTGGACCGGAGTCCGGCTTTCGGTAACGTCTACCTTTTAAGGCGTGGCCACGCCCTGAAATGAGAAGTCTTCTGGAAATTCACCTCAAGATATCATTTTTAATGCTAACCACCTACAATTCACACAAATATCAAATATGAGTGAAATTCCATTTCTTAGCACCATGAATAGCCAAAATTAGGACAAGATGACAATGCAAAATGTGCCAAATAACTGCTCTATCAGTAGATATCAACAATTAACACAATATCTGGCAGAGATAAAAGGAAAAATTAATAATAAAATTACTAACAAATGATACCCTATCAGAATCCCCAAATCTGAACCACCAGCCTTTGGGCTGGTGGCCACCACCTAATTGAACCCTTGCCTCCCACAAAAAATGCCACATTTAAGTGGTTTGTTTCTAAAAATTTAGGCGGGTATGTTATGCACCCGTTTGGTCTGGTGGTGATTCAGTCCCTTCCGAGTTACCCTTGAGTCGAATGAAACCGGCACCAGAATGGTTTAGAACGATAAAAATCTCTACAGAAAAATCTAGCTGTGCCGATTTCATTTGGCTTTACCCAAGGGTCAACTCTTTATTCCCTCCGTCCCACTTAAAGTGTCATACTTTTCTTTTTTGGTTGTTCCAAAATTTTTGTCATGTTTGATATTTCTAACTACTTTATACTTTGAAATTTCCTTTATACCCTTCATTAATATTGCATAAAGACAAATATGATGGGAATGTTTTTTACTTTTTATTTTGACCATGATAGGGTGTTAATTGTTAGTAATTTTATTGTTAATTTTCCTCTTTGTCCTTGCCAAATATTGTTTTAATTGTTAACATATACTTATATTTGTTGTTTGACCCTAATTACAGGGAGGGGAGCAAACAAGTGCAAAAAAGGAGACTTTCTTGAGAAAAATGCTCCACACGTGGGAAGCTTCTAAAAGATCCACAACCGGGCCCCACATTGTACCACAAACAGATTGCCTTTCCTTTTGCTAATTGGTAGTTGACTAGTAATAGGTAGTTTACTAGCACTAGAATTCCGAGACAGAAGAAACATTTGCGGGCCGGCTTTTGCTCTTGTTATCTTTTTGATTGTGGAGATTAGAGACAGTTTTAGGGCTCCTTTGGTTTTGGGGGCGTCCAATTCCTCTATTTATTTTTTTTCCTTTTTTTCGTCTCTTCTAGGAGGATGACAGGAACATAGCTTGTTTTCGAGAATTACTTTTGCAATTTTGCATGGGATTTCCTCCATGAAGATGAACTAACTCCTTTTTCTAGTCAAGGGTTAATTTGAAAATGCGGTTCCATATATTTGTGAGATCGAATTATTTTACTTATTTCTTTTATTCATTGGTATTCGTACATTTTCTGGTTTAATTGCTTATGATTGTTTTGTTATTTGAATTTCAAGGGTCCGATATTCGATTAATTTAATAATCTACTGTCATATTAATTGATTGAATCCGTAATTGTTCTATTGATTAATACCAGTGGTGACTAGCGTGATTGGTTTCATGTTAGGAAAATGTATGATCTAATTTAAACAAACCCTCATAGCGTGTTTGCTAGTTAGGGTTGGGCTTTTCTAATTTTTAATGCAATCGAGAAATTAAATCCTACGGTTGTACCTAGGGGTATTTCTTGGTTAGAGAAATAGTTAACGGTCGTACCTTGACTATCAAAAAAGTAAGGAAAGGTTGGTTGTTTATCGCGTATATGACAGTTATAACCAATCTAGTAATGAGTAATTGAATAATCTTTGCATCGATGATCAGTTGAATGAACCGTATCTGAAAAGTTGCACCTTTGACTAGAATCGTATTGGCTATTGATTAATCCTTGTTTAATTCTATTAGTAGTTTCATTAGTTAGTTAATTAGTTATTTTATATTCTTCAAAAATCCCCCATACT